TGGACTAGATTCTGACTCAGAGCGACCCTAAGGACAGACTAGAACTGCTCCCATGGGGTTCCAAGACTGCAAACCTTTATGAGACCAAGTTTAAAGCAATAGGTGCAATTGTTGGTCTAAAAAAAAAAAAAGTACGTAAACAAACCACCCCCGGCTCATCCCACTTTTCCAACTGACAACCGGAGTATCGCTTTACATTGAGATGGAATCCCCCACAAAGGTGTCTGCAGGCTGAAGGAAAACACCCTGACGTTTCCTGGGCTTTATTGCCTGTGGCTGTAATTCTCTCTGTGTTAAAAACCCAAACACCTCCTTCTGGGCTGTTATCACGACCTTCATTAGCACGGAGCTCGATGTGTCAAACTTGCTAATAAAGAATTGCTCTACATCCTAACAGTACTGGAAAGGTGGCCTCCTATGGTCCCAATCGGGGACTGTGTCCTGGCCCCCACCCATCAGCTCAGCTCCCGGCCTCAAGCCTTTTTCTACTTTTCTTTGTCAAAAGTGTTGAGGGACCCGGTCACACAGACAAGCAGGTGGAAAGACAGACAGACAAACACACAAACATTATGCGATTTTGCAAACTCCTGCTAAGTTCTCTGACCCAAGTCCCCCCGGTGGCCACTGTGGTGACTTCGACTGAGGATTGCAGGGGGCAGTGCCAACAGCAGCCCTCCTGGAGCAGGGACAGAAATGATGGGTTCGGAGCCTGCCGGCTTCTGTGACCCACCACTGATCCACTGGCCACTGAGGCTTCCTGCTAGGAATGGTTCTGCACCTGAACAAAGCCCCAAGCTCGGGTTCTAGAAGAGAGGGTGGTGAGAGAAGCCTTCTTCAACCAGTGGGACTTAGGCGAACAGCTGATGCCTGGGAATTGCTCACTGTGTTCTACAGCCTAGTGCGGGGAGCAGTGTCTGGGGGTCCTATAAACTTGTAAGCAGCCAGCTAAGATACAACTATTGGTCTCTGCTTCTCAGGATCAAAAGAGAAGGGATGCCAAAGTCTCAGAGAAGAAATCAGCCGACAGGGCTATCGGCCTAAGTGAGCTAAGGCCTCACCTGTCCTGAGACCTAGAAGCACTAGATGGTCCCCACTACCACTACTGATGGCTCTGCTCAGGGCCATAAGAGATGGACTCTGATCGAAGGAGGAAAATGTGAAACAGAACTCAAATTCTTAACAAGTCCAGACTTTAATGGACCAGTTGGGACCAGAGGACTCCCTGAGGCGGGGTCCCCCTGATATTCTGAACTGGAATGATCTCCTCATGCCAGCTTTTAGGGAAGTAACAGACCAGCATGCAAAATAAAGGCTGTGAGCTGTGAGTACAGAGCTCCATTAAAAAACAAAAAGGTCAAAAATTGCTCAAAAACAAAGATAAGAAAAAAAGGGGGCAGGGCAGCTAGAGTACTGGAAATGGAACCACCAGAATGCAATTAAAGAGCAGGAGACCCGTGACCACTGTAACGAATGTCACTGAACGATGTCTATAGGAAAGGTCAGCTAGGACCCAAAAGCTGTTAGAGCTACCCTTGCGCTTAGAACACAGTCAAATATGAGTAAACACACCAACCCAAGCCGAGCTCCATGTGGCACATACCCTGCGGGGAAGCTTCAGTCACTCCAGGGACACGAGGACCCAGTGGGAGTTCAGACATTTACCCCCGGTTCACAACTGTACACCCACAGAGTGGCCTGCCAGCTGAACCCTGCACCCAACCTCTCTGCCAGCCGGCCCTGCCCCTGGCTTACCTGGGGGCAGCTGGGGCTTAGCTGAGCCCGGGGCCGAGGCCGGGGTTGTGGGAGGCGGACGCTGCATGGTCACCCTGGGCTCTGGGGCTGGCGGATTTGCAGGGGCCGGCTGGGTGGACATGGGCATGTGGCTGGGGGGGGTGGCCAGGCCCCTGCCCACAGCCACGGGAGGTGGGATGTCCTCTTCATCAATGGCGCTGCCCTTCCGGGCAGAGGCCAGCAAGCTTTCGAGCGTCTGTGGGAGGTGTGAGCACACGGGTGGTGGAGCAGCCCAGAGCTGGAAACGGGGCCGGGGGCGGGGTCCCACCAGCCACCCCTCTGCCCACTCACCTGGCGGCCCCGGTCATAGCGCCGCACCTTGGCGCCATCCCCAGCCTGGCGGGCGCTGTCGAGGGCTGCCTGGTAGAGGGCCAGCCTTTCCTGCAGGGTGGACTCCAGTCCTGCGCTGGGGACTGCTGCGGGCTTCGGCTACGAGAGGAAATAGGCACGGGCTGGGGGTGACCCCATCAGGCGGCCCCCACAGGCATGCCCATCCTGGGTCTCCCCCAGGCCTGCCCCCAACCCCCACAGGTCTGAAATCATCATCCCTGTTCCCTGGAGGCGGCCACAACGGATCTTGGGCCCAGGGAGGTCCCTGGGGTCTGGTTGGAGGGGCCAGGTGGCTGAAGTACCTGGGCTGAAGGAGGCTGGGAGTCCATAGCCTTCTGTTCCTCTCCAAGGACCTCGTTCAGTTCCGCCTGCAGGGGCACACGGCAGTGGGCGCGGGAGGGCCGAGGGCAGAGCAGAGCTGGGGGCGGGGTGGGGGGAGGGGTGGGGGGGGTGGGCGGAGCCCCGGCCCATCTCCCCCAGCTGCTTACCAGCAGGTCGTCATCAGCCTCGACATCATCCTCATCCGTCTCCTCCTCGTCCAGGTCTCTCATGCACAGACTGGCCATCTTCTCAATGGTCTCCATGGGCAGGGGCCCTGGTGGCAGGGGTGGCCCCAGTCCAGTTAGACCCTTCTGGGCACCCCACTCCTCCCACCCAGTTTCCTCATCCCCAAAGAACGGGTCAGCAGGTACCCTTTCTTGTCCTTCCAGAGCACCCACTGTCCTTGGGCCTTCCTGCATACCTCAGTCCTTACCCCCTCCCTGTGAACCACAGGCCCCGCCTCCGTGGGTTTGAACCCTGGCTCTGCTACTTTGTAGCTGGAGTGCCTTGTTCCGCAGAAGGGCAGAAGAGAGGCATCTCACATACTTTGGATGTGTTACTAGGAGAGACCAGTTCCTGGGAAAGGACCTCATGCTTGGTCAAATGGCGCAGCAGTGAAAGCAGAGGTAGGCCCTCCACCAGATGGGCTAGCAGTGGCTGCTGCGATGGGCGCAGCCTAACAGTTCATTGTGAGGATGGTGCAGGGCCGGGCGGAGTTTCTGTTGAACCTCGGGTCACTGTGGGTCAGGCGGGCTCCACAGCCCCTAACAACAGGACCTTGGGCAAGTGACTTCATCTCTCTGGGCCTCGGTGTACCCCCGTCCTGCTGCTGCTGGATCCCCAGCTTAGCTGGGATAATCACGATTCTTGTACCCTGACCGGTAGGATACAAGAAAGCTCCTAGGACAGCACAGGGCAGGGGGTTAAAGGCTCTGTGTCCCCCAGGCACCAACCCATCACATCGAAGGGGTGCAGTGGATGACAACTCAGTGTGAAGAAAACCAAAATCCTCCCAACTGGACCGATAAACACCAGCATGCCGAGCGGAGAAGAGAGTGAAGTTGGCAGGGACGTCGTCTCGCTCGGATCCACACTCAGTGCTCACGGAGGCAGCAGTCAAGAGAGCAAACGATCGTGACCCTGGGTAAATCGGCCACCCAAGACTTCTGTAGTGTGTTGAACAGCAAGGATCCCACTTTGAGGGCTAAGGTGCGCTGGCCCCACGCCAGGGTCTTTGCAGTCTCCTCGCGTGCATGTCAAAGTCGCACGCAGAAGAAGCGGTGCATTTGAAGGAGGGTGCTGGTGAAGAATACTAAAAATAACCACGGGCTGCCAGAACAAGCAAGTCGGTCTCAGAAGTACAGCCAGAATGCTCTCTGGAAAGGACCATGTGCCCAGACCCGATCTCACGACCTTTAGACGCGTTGTCAGGAGAGAGCAGTCCGTGGAGAAGGACGGCATGCTGGGTAAAGCGGAGGGGCAGTGAGAGGGGAGGGCCCTCGAGGAGATGGGTCGACACGGTGGCCGTGACAACTGCAAGGAAGGCGTGGTGTTTCACTCTGTTGTCCGCTCGGTGGCACCTAACACGTGTCTGGTCCTGTTCTCTACCACGTGGGTGGGGGAGTGGGGCTCTGTACCAGCTTAGTCTTCCTGGGTGAGCTCCCCGTTCTTCATCTGCTGTCCCCATCGAGGGCACTCTCCTGGTGTCCCACCTGACTCACGGGTCTCTCAGGACTCTGGGCTGCCCCCACTGCAGCCGTATCACCGGACAGCAGCTAGGACAGTGGTTCTCAATCTTCCGAATGCCGTGACCCTTTAATACAGTTCCTCATGTGGTGGTGACCTCCCCCCCACCGCCCAACCATATGATTATTTTTGTTGCTACTTCATCACTGTCATGTAGCCACTGTTATAAATAGGGAAACCCCTGTGAAAGGGAGTTGTTTGACCCCCCAAAGGGGTGGCGACCCACAGGTTGAGAACCGCTGCTCTAGGAGGTTCAGACCGATGACCTTTGTTGACAGTGTGCAGGCCCAGTGGGGAGTACGTTGTGAAACCCCTGGTGGCAGGGCACTTTTACAGCCAGGGACATCCAGGCTATGCCAGTGATGTTCCCTTGCCAGGTCACACAGCTTGGGAATGGTCATGCTGGGAGTCAAACTCTTGTTTTAAGGGACCGTGGGCTCCAGGAAGGCAGGTACCCTGCCAGTCTTCCTTCTGGCTGTCTCCCCAGCACCCAGTTCCCAGCCTGGAGCTCAGAAAAGGAAGCTTGGCACGTGCGTGTGAACACCTTACCTTTGCCCTTGAGCTTCTCCAGGGCTGGGGGCTGGCCCCCCACCAAGGCCAAGAACTCAGCCTCCAGTTCCTCATCGTTGACTCCATCCTCGGGCATCATCAGCCCTTCAGGGGAGAGGTCGACCAGCAGGCCCAGCTGCGGAAACAGTGCAGATGCCCTCAGATCTTGGGATGGGCTACACCTGGCAGAGGCTGCCGGGAGGGATCCACAGTCCCCTTGGGAGGATAGTACCCTGGCCGCTTAGGGAAGGCCATTTCCTGGGAGTGGCAGGAGGCTGGAGTGGGCCCAGAAGGAGCAGGCGGCCTGTAACAGGCCGGGACCCAGATCATCAAGGTGCAAAGAGCCAGTGGGGAGATCTGGGTCCCTGATCGGGTCCAAGTCCATGCCCGAGACATGCTGGTTGCCACGTAGGGTGGGAAAGGCCAGGCCCACACTGCCCAAAGCCAAGCTGTGATGCAGGTCAATGAGCTTATTTCTACCAAGGCCCTTGGCAGAGAGGGCCAGGCAGGGAGGTCTGACCACCCAAAGGGCAGTGTGGAAGTTCAAAGCTGGACTCTGAGTAGCACATCCGCTCCCCATGTCCTGGTTAGTGACTTAGGATGATGCGACAACATTAGACCGAACTAGATAAAATTGCCCTTGGGCTTTAAGGTCACTCAAACTCACTGCCAGTGATTCGACAGAGTAGAACTGCCCCTGTGAGTTTCTGAGACTCTCACTCTTTGCAGGAATAGAAGGCCCCCTGTTTCTCTCGGGGAGTGGCAGGTGGTTCCAAACTGCTGACCTATGGCAGGCAGCCCAACGTGTCACCACATCACCAGGGCTGCCTTTGAAGATCACTGTATGGGATCAAACCGACTAACAGCAGGAGAAAGATTCCCAAGGACGCTGTGGAGGCCGAAAGGTGGTGAGAAAGCTGAGGGCAACGAGGGCGAGAAGAATTGCACTCAGCCGTGGGGACCTGGTGCAGGTCCTCCTCCGTAGGTTCTCGACAACGCAATGAAGAGAAGGTTTAAAAAAAGATACGAACAAAGGGGAAATACACATGGATTAAGCCTCCGGTGAATCCCCCTCTGACCACAGGCCAGGGGTGTGACTAGCCTTGCTATCATGCAGAGTACATTGGAAAATGGATCATGGCAGATACAGCGAGGTTACAATGTAACACCCTATCATTTGATCTCCCTTTTGATCCTTTTCAAATCGGTTCTAGTGCTTAACACTGTCTCGCTTTCTTTTCGACTGAGGTGGGGTTTTTTATGTTTCACTTTGTTAGGGTTCTTCATTTTCTATTTTTGTTCTCTGGTTTTAACGATTTCCTGTACATAAAATCCAGGAGAGACAAATCTAGAGTCAGTCACTGGATTAATGGTCCCTTAGAAGTATAGTAAGTTCTACTTACACCAGTTTAAAACTACCTGCATGAGAAAGACGGGACTTTCTACTCCAGTAAAGACTTAGTCTCGGAAACCCACAGAAGCAGTTCTACCCTGTCCTGTGGGTACCTGTGAGTAGGCAGACTCAATGGTTGGCGGGAATATGGGGAGCTGATAACGAGGAATACAGAACAATGGAAATATTCTAAAGTCCATGTGGTGATGATTGTACAACTCTTCTTGGTGTGATTGGACTATTGAATTGTATGACAGGTAAATCATATGCCAATAAAACTATATATATAAAAAAGTTTGTTGACCAAGATGGCCAAATCTCTGCAAGTACACATGGCTGGACCCTGGGTATGGCAATGAGGCCCCTTGGTGGTTCCCATCTGAGTGGAAATGGACAAGATGCAGTGCATGTTGGGTATCTGGGTGGTAGAGTTCTTGCCCTCCTCGAAGGAGACTGGGTTTGACTCCCGGCTGACGCACCTGGTGCTCAGCCACAATCGGTCTTTCTACATGGAGGCTTATGAGAGAGTGGGAGGCTGAACAGGTTTCAGGGAGCTTCCAGACTGGGAGGTACGGCCTGGCAATAATAAGCCAATGAAAAAACCCGATGGTTCTGATTCCCAACCAATGGGGAACAGCGCAGGACCTGGCAGCCGTTGTGCTCCTCCCAGGGTCTGCAGGGGTCAAGGGCTGGCTCCAGGGACACCTGACGGTCACAGTAATAACAATGGATGAAGATATTTGCAAGCGTTCTGTCCTGCCACTTGCCATAAATGATCTCCCAGGCCCTCCTTCACCAACAGTCTTGTGATGGCAGGGTTCTCTGGACCTCCACTTCACAGGTGGAAAACTGAGGCGCACAGTTGTGAAGTGGCAGCGAGGGGCGGAGGAGCCAGGAAGGAAATTCAGGAACACCTGCCCGGATGCCTGCGTACTTGAGCTATGCCCTGGGCTCTGGCGAGGCTGCTAATCCTTATGACCTTGGACAAGTCTCAGACACCTCTCTGGGCCTCAGTGTCCTCATCTGTACATTGGGGATCTTCAAAGGTGGCCTGGTTTGGGTGGTGTGTGAGTTTCTGGCGCAGGCAGGCCGAAGATGAGCAATTACGGTCCTTATTAACCCAGGTCCAAGGCCTGCTCCTTTCCAATTGGAGCTGAGGCGGCAACAGGTGGCCCCAGCCCGGAGGGGTGGGGGTGGGGTGTCATAGGCGAGAGGCCAGAGCCAGTAGGCCACACCTAGGGGACAAGGGCTGCCCGGCCGCACCTGGGGGGCGGGACGAGGCTCACCCAGGGGGCGGGAATCCGGATCCCCTGGGGGTGGGGTTCTCCGCAAGCCTGTGACGGGTTCCGGAGGGTCCCCCTGGCGGGGCCATAGGACGCAGACTCACCTGGCGGGCTGCGGCGGCTCCTCGGCCTGGGGGGCCTGGGGGACCCTTCCTCTTGTGCATCTTCTAGGCTGGATGCCCGGACAACCAGCCCCCGTGTCCGGCCTTGCCCCGCCTGCCTCTTCCTCCCCTGGGAGGGCGGGCGCGGGGTGTCTCCCTACTCGCGCACGCGCCCTTCCAGGAGCTCCGCGCCCCTTGCTCGTCACCCCGTAATCCTCGTCCCTACGCCCTCACCCTCGCTGCCAGATGTGGCCGCCCCACTTCCGCTTCGGCCCTCGGGCACCGCAGCACCGGAGCCCGAGTCCAGGACTTGCCTGACCCGTCGCGTCGAACTACAACTCCCGGCAGGCCGAGCGCGCGCGCGTTTGTGTGTACGTGCGCAAGAAGGGGCGTAGGGCTGCGCAGAGAAAAGGGGCGGGGCGGGCGCGGCCGCGAGGGGCGGGGGCTGCGCGTGCGCACACGGCCTCACGCGGTGCGCGGGAAAAAGCGAAGTGTGCCCGAGCGTGCGGGTCTGTGGCGTCGCGTGAGACCCCGCGTCCTGCAGTCTCGCGCGGCCTCCGGACCGGGACAGGGTTAGTGCCGTGCTGGTGACTGGAGGCCGAAGGTCCACTCACCCCGGCTTCGGCCCCGCCGCCCTTCAGCCCCGCCGCCCTTCAGCCCCGCCATCTTCCGAGCGGCTCCCACGGATGGCCAACTTGGCTTTTTAATTTTTTTCCTCAAAAAACGCAGCGCAGATCATTTGATTTCATCCTCCAATAGACTCAGGCAGACCCTGTAAAGACCGAGGGAGGCTGCAACTCTGGCTCCTGTCGGTTTAGGCGTTTCTAGCGCCCAAGCCTGAAAGAGGGCACCGGGGGCGCCTCGTGCCTCAGCGACCCCCGAAGGGCCCCAAGCCTCCCCTCGGAAGTCCCCGGGTTCCCAGCCCCAGTGGTCCCCTGGGCAGTCCCTGGGCAGCTAGCTGAAGGGACACGAGAGCCAGGGAGCCCAAGTCACTCGACAGGTGACGGCGGCTGTGAGCCGGGAGCAAGATGGCGGCGCACCCTGCTTGGGGAGCCGGACAAGGTTGGACCGTCCGCTGCGTGACGGCTTGATTGGAGGCTCTGGACACGGGGGTGGGCCAAGGCTCATAACGATGGAACCCTTTGCTTGTCATTTTCAGGTTTCCCGCGGCAGGGAGGGAAACCATGAGTAAGAAAAAGAGGCCCCGCACTCCAGGTATTTATTTGTACATGGAAGCACAGGGACCGGTGGTTTGCACACAACTAGTAAGAGCGGGACACTCCCAAATCTTGAGGGAATAAAAAGCTAGAGCTTTCTGGGCTTCAGCCCCTCCACTGGGGAGATGCCAGGGGAGCCCCCAGACTGGGAGGCAGGGGTGTATCTCCTTAGAAATGACCTGTGAATAGTGCTTGTTGGGCCGTAAAGCCCTCTGGTAGGTGGCTAAGTGTTTGGGGGACCAAGACGGGCTCACACAATCCCAGCTCTCCCACTTGCAGTGTGCTTTCAGGGGCTTGACTTAACCTCGTGTCGCAACTCCCTGTCTATCAACTGAGGATAATAAAAGCACCAACAGGTGTGAGTGAGGGGGAGTGTGGAGTGGGGACCCAAAGCCCATCAGTAGACAATTGGACATCCCCTTACAGAAGGGTCGTGGGGAAGAGAAGAGCCAGGCAGGGTGCAGTTTAGCAACAATGAAA